GGTACAACACGAGTTGGCATTCGGCACTGGGGCGATCTCCTTTTGAGGTGCTTTATGGATATGCTCCTACACATTTTGGCATCAGTTCCGCGGATGAGCAGCCTGTTACTGACATTGCTAGTTGGCTGCATGATCGTGAGTTGATGTCTGCAGTTATACAGCAGCATTTGCTCCGCGCCAAGCAGCGTATGAAACATGTTGCTGATAGTCACCGTTCGGAATGTCAGTTTCAAGTTGATGATTGGGTCTTCCTCAAGCTTCAACCCTATGTGCAAACGTCAGTTGCTGATAGAAGCAGTCAGAAGCTCGCTTTCAAGTACTTTGGACCTTACAAGGTGCTGCAACGTGTTGGCTCGGTTGCGTACAGGCTTGAGCTTCCACCTTCATCTACGGTGCATCCCGTCTTCCGTGTTTCGTAGCTCAAAAAGGCGGTGGGTGCTCGCCACACTGCCACTACAACTCTACCTCCGGCGTCTGCTCAATGGAGCATTCCTAAGCGCATCCTCCAACACCGTCAGGTGGCGCGTGGTAAGAAATTCATTCAGCAGGGTCTTATTCAGTGGTCTAACATGCCAGTTTCTTTAGCCAGTTGGGAAGACCTGGAGTATGTGCATCAGTAGTTTCCTCGCGCCAATTCGTGGCTGCAACATGGCGCGGAAGAGAGGGGGAATGTCAGCACTACATCAGCTGACACTTATCAGGCGCAGAGCTCGGCTTCAGCTGGAATTCTGGCTTCGGATGGGCCACAGGAAGACAGGCCGAAGAGGCATAGGACTGGCAATCCACACTAGACCGGGCCGGAATGGATATCCAAGTGACCCAGCGACAGGGGCGTGCGCGCCGCTGCTTCTGAACCATGTGGAGTGTTTTCATAAATAGACTAATACCTTCTTGTAGAAGGGACATCGGCTATTGTAACGAAACCCATCTGCTACTAAGAACTCATCGTTGTTCCGGTCCCCTTGCTGTGCTTCCCGGCCTAGATTCCAATTCCTCTGTTCCTTCCAGATCTGCTGTTAACACACCGATCCAAGTAGCCCAGACTTTTTTCACCTCATCCTAGAGATCCAGGATGACACCCGGGCTCTCTTGCTCACCGGCACAGCCTATCTCCTGTTCGCCGTCACCATCGTATCAGCCATCCGGCTCGTCGTCCTGTTCACCGCCGTCGCGACATACTCCGATGAGCTGCACACCTTTGGCTCCCTCCTTGGCAAAGTCAAGGCACAGCTGAAAGGCCCCGTGCTCACGCTCACCTTCGTCTACGCACTGGATATCGCCTACTTCGCGCTGCTGGTTGCCATGTTTGCGCTACTCATCTTCCTTGCGATCAAAGATTACTTCGGGCTGTTCTGTGTGGTACGGCTGCTCCTCCTCGTTCCCCTCATCGTCTTCCTCGTGTACTTCTCCTTCCTCTGCTCCATCAGCGTCGTCGTGGCGGTGGCCGAGCCTGGCTGCCATGGCGGCTGATGAAGGGGAAGCGCAGACAGGCCGCGCTTCTCATTTCTGTGACTAGCTTGCTCGCCACGGCGCTATTGCGGGTCCACGCTCTGGCTAAGACGTGCGCACTTACTGACAAGGCATCAGGGTTGCTCCTGGGGTTTCTGCACGTCATCTTGATGTCTGCCGTGCAGTTGTTTCAAAGTCTGCGCCATGGCCGCGTTCTACTACGAATGCAAGGGGAGCACCGAGGCATCTGCGGCGGGGTGTCTACAAAGGACCAATTTGTTGCTGCTTGAATATTAATTAGCTATATTCTATCAACCTGATATGCACTGTGTGCATAGCTATATACTGTTAATATTGATGTTTCTTGACTAAGTTGTAGTCAAGGGGCTGCTTCCACCGTATGTAATACTACTCGTTTCACCGTTTCGTTTCATTTGAGAATTCACATCGTGGATGTGATGTAAGAATAAGAATATGTGTTTCATGAATTTTCTGGAGGGCAAAAGGTCATGAATGTATGTACAACAGCATGATTCTAATCAGAGCAAGTGACCAAAGTGCACGCCAATTATTAAATATCATACACCCACACCTTGTCCAAATCTCACATCATAATTCCTGTTGACAGCAAAATTAACGATTAGGAAGTTCAAATTAGAATTGGGAAATAAAGTGTTAGCAAAAAGCAACAAAATGAGGCCAAAATTACAAGTTCCAGGGAGGCACTATTCACTGGCTGGCACAGATAAAACCGGTCTAGGCCAGTTTCTCTAGTCTTCGGCCACAGCCCGGTAAAAACCGGTCCAGGCCGGTTTTGAAAGTTTGTGTCTAATTCATCCCTAATTCGATGGGAACTCACACAATCTCATTAGAAACATTCAAATCTCATGTGGGACAAGTATTCTCTACCGGGATAAGACTACCCTCTCTCTATATATCAAAGGATCACGCCCGATAGATGTTAACCATACACAATTGCTCAAAAAATCATTTTACTATCCTCTTCTCCTACCTTAGCTTTTTCAATACCCCCGCCGTCTGAAAGACCAGAAACGATGACCAAAGGGGGAGGGGGTGAATGGGAGTCAATATATTAAAATTCTTCTCCGGGATAGAGCTTGGCATATATCCCCATTTTCCATGAAATTGCATTCCGATTTCTAACCGCCATGACGAGACTATAGATCTAAAGGACGGTGATAGGAAAGCCAAAACATGAAGCAAAAGCGAAAACAGCTCAGAACAACAAAAGATTGGAGGTTACGATCGGAAGTTCCGATGCATGTCGGGAGTTCCAACGCACGTCGGAAGTTCCGATGTTAGAAGTTGTGTTGGAAGTTGACGTTGAAAATTGTGTTAGAAAGATTCGAGACAGCCCAGAAAACAGCATTGAGAACAAGAGAGAAAAAATTCAAAACTCGATCAAACGAACTCTAAAAAATCCAAAACATTGCACACACCTTCTCAAGCCTGTTTAGAAGCTATCCCCAAGAGCTAAAGTCAAAAAGATTAAAGCATGATCAGGAAATTCAAAAGCTCACTCTCAAACTGGGGTTTTCATAATTTTCTTGAAACCGAGGGTTCGTGGAAAATTTGGTTGAGGAAAAGCCTAAGCATGTTTCCAAGACCTCATAGCACCTAGAAAGCATAAGAAATCAACCCAAAAACCTTAGCTCAAAGTTCCTCAAGAATTTCATCAAAAGAGCAAGAATTGTAAGATTTGAGGCTTGGAACCAAAAGCTTTGAAGCTGGACTTCAAGACATGATCCAGATATGTTCCAACAGTCCCAAAGTCTCACAACAACATGCAAAAGACTCCGCCAAACCAGCAGCACAAAAATCACCGAAAATATGAGAATGAAAATCTCCAAAAAAGTGAAATTTCAGATTTGGGGGAGGAGCTAGAACAAGTGATGTATGAATTTGATCTCTTGATTACTTCACAATGAAAGAATACAAGCTACTCCTAGCAAATCTAAAAGCTTGGATGGCGAAAAGCTCAATCAAAGAGCCACTCCTATGATCCACTATTCCTCCTAGCCTTAACCAAAAGCTATCAACGGAGCATGAATCAAAACAATCAACAAAAACTAAAATCTATTTACAAGCAATATTTTGAAAAAAGAAAAACCCAAATGTTATAATAATAAAAAGCTAGCTAGGCGTGCTATTTGCGTGGACCATATTGCTAGTTATTATTAAGAACTAAGAGGGTCAGGATTTAGCGGTCTAGGATCTAGAGGCGATTTGACTTTTATTCACGAAGATTCCTGGAAACTACCCCAGAAATAGACCTTTTCCTTTTTTTTAAACGTGCACTTATGCGCATGTTTCATTAAGAGGAAAGAGATTATTGTCACTGTTACAGAGAGCTACTCCCCTCTGTTCTTAAAACAACGATTCTAGGTTTTGGATAAATCAAAACTTTTTAAATTTGATCAATTTTTTAAGAAAAAATATCTATATTTATGTATCCAGTTGTAAATATTATCAATTTAACGATTTTTATTTGGTATCTTAAACATTTGTATTTTTTATAGATTTGGTCAAACTTAAAATTGTTTTACTCATTAGGAAGCGATAATTGTTTTTTTAGAATGGAGGGAACAGAAACGCGAGAGGCGAGTCACAGTTGCGAATGCCAAGACACCCCAAGAGATGAACTTCCTACGCCCTACAGCCAGGGTTGGACGAAAAGCTCGTGGCTCGCTAGCTCGCTCGGCTCAGTGCTAACTCGGCTCGACTCGACTCAGACTCGGCTCGGCTCGTTTACTTTCTTCACAAGTCGAGCTAGCATTTTAGCTCATTAAATTAATGAGCTAGCTCGCCTAAACAAGCCAAATACTTTGTAGTTCTACAACAAAAACTAGTAACAACTAAGCTTAATTCTATATTACATGTATGAGATTGGAGTCTAGAATACATGTATGATATGCATTACACTTATTTATTTACTTGTCGTGATGTATGCATAGAATAAATTAGTATCTATAGTTATATGCATTGGTTGCAATAGTTAACGAGCCAGCTCATGAGCCAAACGAGCTGGTTTGCGAGCTAAATGAGCCGACCCGAGCTAGAGTTTATCTCGTTTACTTAACGAGTCTAGTTGAGCCAGGTCGTTACCGTAACGAGCTATAACGAGGAGCGGTCATAACGAGTCGAGCTGGCTCGTTATCCAACCCTCTACAGCTACAGAAATGATGTTTAGAATATAGACTTTCCCCTGACCCTGTCATAACTCATAAGTCATAAGCGCGTTATGCAACTTCCACCGATATTTCAGATTTTCAGAAATAATGGCTACGCCTACGCGTAACATGGCCTATACCAATGTGCTGACTGCTGACTCTTTCTCACAACGGCGACCTTTTCTATTCGACCGGCACTTCGGCATCAAATTTTTCTATAAGGTTGCTTTGTCCAAGCATGCTTCTTTACTCAACCATGCGCTTATAACCTGTGATACACTCCTCCAACTTTGTTCTCATCACCTTCTATTCGACCTTTGTCCATCTCTCTAGCTAGCTAGCTAGCTCCAGCCTTCAGCCATGGCAACCGGGCAACAAACAAGCTCGACCCCATCGTTCTTCAACTTCCTGAAAGAAGGTCTGCTCCTCCCTAGCCACAACTGGAGGCTCTTCGCAGCTGTCTTCACAATTATCGCCGCCTCCTCCTGTCTCCTCCTCCTCGGCAACGACCTCGCCGTCCAGCCCCTCAGAGACGAGCTTGACCAGGACACAAAGGCGCTCCACAGCATCGATCCCAGTAGCCCAGCAGGCATTCTTCAACTCGTCCAAAAGACCAAAGATGACGCCCGGGCTCTCTTGCTCACCAGCGCAGCCTATTTTCTGTTTGGCGCCATCACCAGATCAGCCATCCAGGTCGTCGTCCTCTTTGCCGCCGTCGCGACATACTCCGGTGAGCTGCACACCTTTGGCTCGCTCCTCGGCAAAGTCAAGGCACAGCTGAAGGGCCCCGTACTCACGCTCGCCTTCGTTTACGCACTGGAGATCGCCTATGTCGCGCTTCTTGCCATGTCCGCTCTGCTCATGTTCCTCAAGGTCAAGAAATACTTCGTGTTGTTAACTGTGGGGTCGCTGCTCTTCCTGGTTCCTGTCGTCTTCCTCGTGTACTTCTCCTTCCTCTGCTCCCTGAGCGTCGTCGTGGCAGTGGCCGAGCCCGGTTGCCACGGCGCTGGCGCTCTTGGGCGGGCGTGGCGGCTGTTGAAGGGGAAGCACAGACGGGCCATGCTTTTCATTTTTGTGACTGCCTTGCTCGCCGTTGCCTTAACTCCTATCTACACTCTGGCCAACAGATGCGCACTTAGTAACATGGGAGAAGGGTTGCTCCTGGGGTTTCTTTACGTCATCTTGATGGCCGCCGTGCAGGTGTTTGCGTTCTGCGCCATGACCGCGTTATACTACGAGTGCAAGGGGAGCACCCAGGCATCGGCGGTGGAGTACGTCAAGGTTTCTACCAAGGAGCAAGTTGATGCTTGATTATTAGCTACTCTATTCTGTCAACCTGATGTGCATTGTGCATATATCCTGTTAATATCGGTGTTACTTGACTAGATCGAAGTCAAGGGCTTACTTCCACCATATGTAATACTCCCTCTTCTCTCCCTTTCATTTCATTTTTCGTGGATGTGATGTAAGAAAAAGCACAAGTGCAATTTCATTAATTTTCTAGAGGGGAAACAGCACGACTCTCTATTTAAAGCAAGAGTGACCAAAGTGCACCCTAACTATAAGGTCCGGTTTGGCACAACTTTTCCAGCAACTTCGGTGGTTGTTTGAAGCTGTTGAAACAGTTCCTCAAGTGCTAGCGCCCAGGCGTCTGGACGCCGGCGCATGCACTCCGTCTCCCCCCACGCATGCACTCCGTCTCCCCCCGCGCCTGACTGCACGTGGGGAGTCTCCGCTCGCGGGCCCTTCGCTTCTCACGCGCGCGCACGTGGCCGGTAGCTGCATCAGGTACGGTGACTACAGTAGGTGGCTACGGTAGCATCTAGAAGAGGGGGAGGGGGGTGGATGCCCAGTTAGCGCTGGGAGGTGGTGGAGACACCAAGGCGAAGGTGAGGCAGTAGAAAAGTGAGAAGACAGAGATACAACACCCGATCTACTTTTAAAACATCTGGATGCAACACTTGCAACATACGTCTAAAAACAGATAAAACATGTGAAACATGCATCTGAAACACTAGCTGCAACATCAGATCTACTTTTGAAACATTTAGATGAAACACTTGCAACATACGTACCAAATAGCATGCGTATGAAACGCTGGCAAAACACACCTGAAAGCATTTCATATGTCTAAAAACGCGGCGCGGAGGAGGCAGCGTGAAGGAGGCCATAGGGGATGTGGCGCGGCGCTGCGGGGGACCGGCGGTGGTGAGGCGGAGTGGGGTGGGCGGATCGACACGACAACGGAGGGAGGAAATGGTGCAGCGAGTATTGGGGTGCGCGGACGAGATGAGCGGATAAGGTCGTTGGGCGAGTGCCGCGTATGGGAGTGAGAATCCAAAGTCAGAATCTCGGTACTGAGGATTTCTACCTAAGTCAGAATCTCAGTCGTGGTAGGTGCCTTTGACATGTACAATCTGGTCCAATATGAAGTTGCAAAGGTCGCCGACGAGCTCTAAGAGTTGGTCATCCTTGTATGGGTCTCTTTTCATTTCTTTCTCTTCTTTCCACTACAAGAGAACAAGTTTCGGTTTAGTATTTCATACCATGTGCGATGTTTTTATACTACGGGTGAAGAGGTTCAAATTTACCCTTAAGGGGTGTCTCCTGTAGGCACCGGTGTTACTCATCATAGAACATACATAGTATCCACAATGTACACTCCCAGGGTTCTGCTTGGGGCACTGTGTGTTTTGCATATGGAAATGTTAAGTAATGCTTTTGACAGCCATGTAATGGAGTACCGAAGAAGTAAGTTACATTTATCACACATAGTATTTTTATAGCCAACCTTTCCTTCCTTACTAGATCATGTCTTCCGTGATGTTTAGTGACATAGAACCTAAATGCCATGTTCGAATTATTTTAGCAAATACAACTTGTTAGTATCGAAAAGTGAACGTTACAAATATGTATACAAACATATAAGCTAATGAGGATTGTCGATATGTATACGTCTTGAGAATCGATATGAAGTCTTTGTATGTCACCGGGTCCCTATCCATTGAATCAAGGACCCATGCCATGCTCCTCCCGACATCGACGCCTATACAAATCCAGTGGTTGCTGCATGGATTTAATCAGAGAACTAGATAAGCTCTTTTGCATCGAATAAAATATATGGAACAAAACTTTAAGTATAGAGTTTACTCAAAGTTGTATGGTAGCTATATAGTAGAGTGTTGTTGAAGATTTTTAAAAGTTAGGGCAATATATGCCGAAACCTTAAGGCACTCTCGCCTTAGTTTCTTCGTACGGATGTCGTCTTTCTCCCGAAGGGTCTTTCCAGCAGCTAGCTCTTTGTCATCCGGTTTCCACTGTTTAGGGTAATTAAAATTTATTTGTGCTATAGCTTGAGGGTCTATATACCCGGCATTCACACTTTGGCATTTGTTTTACAATGTGCACTTGCATTCTATAAATCACAGCGTGGGTTAGTTATAACAAAATTCAAAGATTACATTTGAAACATCCTTAATTTTCCGCGAAGGGAAAATCCACAGAATGAATTATAATATGATGAAACCAATAGTTGATTCCATCATATTATCATATATCAGTCGATATCACAGTCATACATCGTAAGCTTACATGAATACAAGATATTACATCACTGGGGAACACACCTATTACAGAGTTAATCTAGCGGAAAACTATTGAGTGAAGGCTTCTCCTTCACGGGTCGTCATCAGAGTTGGTGTAGTGCAGTGTAGATTCCATCTCCGAACCAAACTTGAGCGTAGGCACGAGACCTCCTAATCCTTCTAAGGTCAGCATCTCTGAGAAGCAGGAAATCTGTACAACGCCAGATGTGTGCAGGCCATGGTCAGCACCGATGAGCTTTGGTGGAAAAGATAAAACAAGAGGATCTGGCGATCCTAACATTTGACTGTGGTTTGCATCCCTAGCGCATGAGAAGTAAGTAATAGTAGTAATGTAATAATAATGTCCAGTTTTTAACACATTCCCAACCACACACATCCACATCCATCCATATCCATCCACCAACCATCCATCCCAAACCATCTCCACACCTCCACACCTTATCTCATCTCACACACTCAGGTCGACAGACCAACTCCCTTTCGGCCTTGTCTCAACGGCCCGCAGCCCCAAGGCTCACGACCGGAAAATACCCCAACCCTGGAGGGAGAAAAGAAGGACTCATCTCCTATCTAGTTTAAGCGAAACCCAGGAAAGGTCCATAGCCGACGAGTCGGCATATGTATCGATCGATCAACCATACATTATGTAGAGGTTTCACATACCCACAAGATAGCCATCCTCGACGGTGCCCCGTCTAGGTAGATTCCGGCCGCTTGCTAGCCTAGAACGATGCCACCCTACCTCTCAGCCCTAGAACATCCCAAGTCTAGTCTGGGATGGCTGATACTGTGAGTCGTAGACAGAGCCGGGGCCCACCGGATGTCGAGAGCCGGTCCACAAGGCCTCCTGAAGTCTCGGAAGGGTGTGGGGAAATCGCGCCCCGAACCTCCTTGCACACGTTCGCCTAGCAGTAGTGGCATCGCTCTACCAAGTAGTTCGACCGTCCCGCACCATATAGGGCGAGTGGGATGTAAAGGATTCCCGGTGAATCTGAGTACTAGTAAGTCCTTAGGGATTGACCAAGCCAGAATGTCTTCATCAGGGTTTCCATTTTACATGCCACCACAGCACCTCCACCCTGGGCTCCACCTCTCCGAGGTTCACACCCAATTACCATTTACCCACCACAGGTATTCCATATCCAAGTGCCCAGGTAGCACCACATGGCAAGACTCGCCCTAGGCTCGTCGTTATTCCAGCTCGGTCGACACAACCCTCACTCTCCACGCACCCAAGACACACGCAGCACGCTCACACACCACCAAGTCCAGCACCCATAGCCAAACCATTCCCTGGGGGTTCACCACCAGCATCACATCCCCGATATAATGCGAAGTGGAGTTATTAATAAGTATAGTGGTGTAATATGCAAGCAAGCAGGCAAGTAAGCATATATAAACGAGCGAATGCACAAAGCAGGGTGACGTGGTAGAGTGGGTTGCATCAGGGTAATAATGGCTCAGGTAGTAGCATGCATCAAAGTACTATCAAAGGAATAATTATAAAGCGCTAGTAGTTCTAGATATTATGCTATGTCTAATAGGATTCTCTAAAAGAGGGTGCTGCCATGACACCTGCGATGTAGAGGTAGTAGTGGTTCAATTCTCCATTCGTTGGTGTTCCATTAGTAGAGTCACCTCCTCCTGTGTTGACTCCATTCCGCAGTCCTTGTCGTCGTCCTCGTTCTCTTGGTCCGATCGTCAGCCACTCCGCGAAGCGACACGCAAGGCAAGAGATCACTCAACACTTGAAAAGACGACAAGATGCAGGAAAATCCAATAACACCAGTGAGGCAATAAGAGATACACGGCTTAGCCCTCTCGACGGTTGTCCGATTTCCTCGGGCCAAAGAATCACAAGTGGTGGTTTGCTGAGCATAGGCTTAAGTCATGGCCAAGCTAGTATGGCTTTACGATAAACGGTTTAAGCCAGAGCTTATCCAGAGCAAACACCATGGCTCACGATCTTTCGATCCGGTGTCATTGGGTTGACGGGGATTGGAAATCAGGCCCCAAGAAAGAAGAACGATGGGGTTCGGCTCTTATAGCCTTATCCCGCAAGTCACAATTGGACACGAGTAGCAAACAAGAACGAATAACACTATTGTAACTTGGCTCCAATGTACTTTGGCTCACCCGCTATGGTAGGAAGCGGTAGCGCAAAGAGGTTGGACAACGACGGGTCCTCTTGATCCACACGACACATCAACATCGGGAGTCGAGGAGATAGTCGTTCAACACGGCAAAAGTAGCGAGGTTAGCTAGGCATGTCCATGTTATGTTCCTAGACACATCTTCAGGAAAGATGGTTTTAGACGGTCGATCGGGTCGACACGCACGGGTCCGAGGTACGACATAGACCATAGCTTCGCTAACAAAAGAGAATAGTCCGGTCTTTGTTCCAATCGTCACGGGCAAGACGGGATCGAACAGAGCGGGCTATCGGTGCAACAAGAGCAAGAACAACAGGGAACAAGGTCTACTTCTTCCAACACTCGCGCCACGACGAAAGACGGGGCATTGGGAGGAAGCGATGAACGTCAAGTGCACAGACCACTCATAGGGTACCCGACCTGGGTGCACTGGCACTAAGATATTTCTCGGATTCAAAGCGGTGCGGTTGTCACCGCGAGAATCAGAGAAATGTGATGGTCAAACGGGGTACAAGCATACAAGGTCTTGAGCATGAAGAAGCAACTAAAAGCA